ATAAGGAATAACTAGTCCAAAAGGAATATCTCATTGGAGATTGAATTGTTTTAAAACCCAACAAGTAAGGAAGGGCTAAGTTCGGGTAAACCGAACATTTTATACTCTTGCAACTTGCAAAAACCAAAGACGACTACCGTTAATAATCGAAGTTCGAAAATCTTTCTATTAGTTATATGGGGGCTAAGAGAAGTATTGACCCGATTTAATCCATTTTTTACATACAGACATAATATTATCAGGAACGGCTTCTCTCCGAACTCCAATTATATAACTTATACATATGCACTGGGGTCCACATTTTCGGTGTATAGGGGCTTGAACAGTTATGAACCGATTGTGACAATTTTAAACTTGATACGGCATATCATAAAGGCACTCTGTTGGCTAAGTTTTATTTCAATATATTTATAATAAATAATAATAATAACATATTAAATTTGTATTATATAGGAAGTAGGCGGGGTTATAATCCCCCCATTTTCGCGCTGTAACATACACAAGTCAGGATAATGTTACTTATCAAATTTGTGTGAAATCGGTCAACTAGATCCCGAGATATGGGTTTCATCCAATGGTAGGCGTTGCCACGCCCATTTTCCGATTTTTGTATTGGCTCCCATAAAACTTAATTGTACTATCGTATGTGTAAAATTCAAAACTTCTGACTTGTTTATTTATTGAGTTATCGCACTTTTATTAGTTTTTAACAAAACCGTTATATGGGGAGTGGGCGGGGTTATCACCTGATTGCACCCATTTTCACACTGTCGTTTTTGTTTAATTTTAAAATTTTGGAACCGCAGGTGCCTCTGCCTAATGCGGTTCGATGTACCAAATAATATTTTTTTATATTACTTAATAAATAATATTAGATGAGACTACTATATCCTATAGCTCCCATAGTAACAGTCAGTAACGAATCCATCAATTTTTTATATATTTTTATTTTAAGGGAAACTGGCCGTGGTTTAACTTATAATAATTCAATACAAAATTAAAATACACACTTTCAAGAAAATTCGCTTTTATTGGTGGTACTCAAAAATGTTGTGATAACTGAAAAATAACCCTAAAAAATATTTTTATATTATGTCAAAAAACGAACAACAATTTTATAAGTTTGTACTGTTTCATCATTATTGTCGAATGATTTTCATATTATCTAATCAAGTAAATATAAAGTTGACTTTAGTAGCGTTAATTTGATGTTATAAGGAAGTTTTCCTTGCGCAATAATAAAGGGATCAGTGCTTAACAGCAAACTGTTCATTATATCTGTATTTGAAGTCAAGTATACATTTCTCCATGTACGAGTATGTGGTAATCGGCACCTTATTCTTTAATTTGCTTCTTCTTCAGAAAGCTCTGCAATTGAAACCAAGCAATGTTTTATAACTTCAAAGCCGTAAAGTAAAATTTTATGAACCGATGTAGCGAGTTAAAACCAAGAATATTTGCCAATCAACTGCTTTGCAGTTTCAAGAGCATAGTCTCCAAATTTTGCTGAATTAATTTTGTAGCCCGAAGATCTGGCATAAAACAAAGTTGAGGCTCTGAGTATTAAATATTTATCAATTCCCATAATATCGGCACATATATCAAGATTATTGAAAAATACTAAAATACAGCACAACAACAGGGCAAAGCAATGATGATGAAGGCAAATTTTATTTTAAATGATATTTGGGCACCTACACTTAGCTTTTTTCTTACCTTAAGACATACTCAAATTCACTAAAAAAGAAATGAATTGGGGAAGCAGGAGGAAGATAACTAAAACCTTGTGTAAATATATTAAAGACTCACGTAAAATGCATAAAATACGGGATAAACAAAAGTATCGATTTAATTTTGTTTTGTTAATTTTGTAACATAAAGTAAATATCTTCAACTTCAAGATGCTTAAAAGGAATTTTAATTCGTAATCGTAAAAAATCGCCTGACCACTTTGAACTTCGCTTTTGTTGTGAAATATTCACGCTACGTGCATCTGCTTTAAAAATTAATAGGTGATAACTATTTCAATGCTATTTTTAGAAAGTTCCGTTAGATTTCCCGAAATTTCGGTTTACTATTAAGAAGTTTGGACATTTTAAAGATTTTTTTTTTACTTTTTCGATATTTTTTTTTACATGATTTTTGGCCTATAGGCGAAACCACTGTGCAGTGGTCCGATTACGCCCATCTACAATACCAACCTTCTTATGGTACCAAATTTCATCAATATATCTCAATTTTTACTCAAGTTAAAGTATGCACAGACGTTCAGACAGTTACCCGGATTTCAACTCGTCGCCTCAACCTGATCATTTACATATGTACATATGACCTTATATCTAACTGGATTAGTTTGAGGTGATACAAGCAACCATTAGCATTCCTATTATATGGTACTCTGTAGCAACATGTTGCAAAAATATAAAAAATTTGGAACGCTAATTCATAATAGTTATGTTCAAGAGTACAATAACCTACGGATAGAAATATCTCATCATGCTGTTTTATACCGAAGTTGATGTTGTGTACTTTATTCTTCCAAATTTGGTGTTATACAACCTTAGACAGATCAATAGTCTTATTGTTTAAGTTACACAAGAGAAAACTCATATATTTCTGATAAATGTCGGTGTGATATTGTTGTCTTTAAAGATGAATCCCTTTTCCCCACGATTATGCGAGCTCTCACACTTCGATTGAAACAACTGCATTTTTGAGCACTCGAAACATCGATGAGTCATCCACCGTATAGTCCTGACATGAAACCGAATGACTTAGTTTTATTCTCGTACGTAAAAGATAAACTATCAATATCATAATCAACGTTTTTCGAAATCTGAAGCGGCAGCTGATGCGTTCAGAACACATGTTTTATGATACCTCAAACAGAGTGGCAAAACTGTGTTTGACAATTAATTTAAACGTAAGAAAAAATGTTTAGATCTTAATTAAGAATATTTTGAAAACCAATAAAGCGACATTGCATGATAAATATGTGGTTTTATTCTCTAATACCAAAATATAAAAGCAATCTTCGTAATATTTAATCTGTGCACGAAGGGTGGTCACGTACGGGATAACAGTAAAACGAATTATTTTTGCGCCATTCCTCATTACTTTTTCGAGCAACGGTATAGTGTTATTTCCAGCACGAATGTTTGCCTTGCGCTCGTTAATGGATCAAGCATTGTTGGAGTACATTTTGATCTTCAAATAATGCTACTAAATGTAGTTAGAGAAGAAATCAGAAGACCTCCTTTTAACATCAAACATCCACGGAATTTTCATTACAGAAATACAATAGTCTGATTTCACTAATTTGCTGGCAGGCATAATTAGCCAAAAGCCATCGATATCCATTTCCATGAACTGTTTCATTTTGCTTGAACAAAAACACGTATATAAATAAAGGAGATGTATGATTAGAATTCTGTTGTATAGACATTTGGTTTCAAAACATGTTAAAACAACTCAGTAGCTTAGTAAATATCAATAGATTTGACCAACAAAATTTTGCAGCGTTTACAGATATTATACTTTTGCTTACATGGTGCTACAGAGCAAAATAGTTTTGTTCACCAGATGGTTGTTTGTATTACCTAAAACTAACCGAGATAGCTTTTATATATATATATATATATGTAAATGATCAGGACGACGAGACGAGTTGAAATCCGGATGTCTATCTGTACGTCCGTATGTGCAAGCTGTAACTTGAGTAAAAATTGTGATATCGTTAGATAACTATTGTACACGTATTCCTTGGTCGAATAGGGAGGATGAGCTTTTATTTGATCGCAATCGGACCACGGCCGCGCCCACAAAACGCTATTAATCGATAACCCATAAATTGTCATAACTAAACCGCAAATTAAGATTAAAAACTGTTATTTGGTGCAACGAATCGCAACAATAAGGGAAATAGTGGTTTGAAAATTTTATAAAAGTAGGCGTGGCCTCGCCCATAATAGGTTTAATGTATATATCTTCCAAACCGCTTAAGCTATATGACCCAAGTTATCACAGGAGGAATCATTTCGACCCCTCTTGCGACAGCCCCAAAACTGGTGAAATCGGATGATAACCACGCCCACTCCCTATATTATGGCTTTGTTAAAAGGAGGCACTAGAAGACTTTATAAAATCAGTTGTCAAAATTGGACGATAGGCGTGTCACCGCCCATTTTAGGTAAAATCACATATCTCCGGACCTACTAATCAATTCCGGACCAATTTAAATCAATTTAAATCAAATTCGGTGAATCTGATTGTTTCACTTTACAATATACAAATCAAACATCAATGAAGTTATCAGAGTAAAAATTTGCACAAATAGTGACCTCAAGGTACTTAATATAACGCCCAAAAATTGTCGAAATCGGACTTTAACTTTTCAAGAACTCTGACACCAGATATGTGGACACCAGTGCATATGGCTGCTTTTCTATCGAACATGTCGATCAATCTGTGAGGTTTAGTATTGAAGCACCCATATACCAAATATTAATGTTTTCAAACTTCCGGTTAGCTTTATACCACATCCATCGGTCAATATGTAAGAAATTTTATTGAGATTCCGAAAGAATCTCTTTCTAATAATATATAATATATCTTCTTGCCTGTAATTGTAAAAAATGGATACAATGCTTCCTGCTTTTAATTTAATTACAATATATTCGAAAATCACGTATATCACTTTATCTTGCGAGAGTATAAATTGTACGGTTACACCCGAACTTAGCCTTTCCTCACTTGTTTTGATTGTTATTGTTAGTATCCTTCAACAAATTAAATTGGTCTAGCGTTTGCAAAATTGTACTCTCTTAAACACATTATACACTCTCTTATTGCCGCTCTTCATACAATTCATCCTATTAGTCAGCCAGGTAGTCAACCCTAATGCTTCTGGAGAGCTTTTGCGTGCGCCGAAAAGCTCGACGAAAGTATCCTTACAACAAACGCGTGCAGCAACAGCGAATAAAACTAAACCTTTTGACCAAACGCGATTCAGTCATCGTTATCAATTCAATGCGAACAGAGCGTGGCTGGAAATTTCAAAATATTTTTCACTTACCTTTACTCTGTGTTGGTAGATTGGCTAAGAACGGAAGTGGCAGTGAAGGTGGCCGAGAGTGGCAGCAGTGTTATTGAGAGCATTGGCAAAGGCGAAATTCCAAAAAATATACGAAAATAAATTAAAGAGAAAAAAAGACAACAGCAACTACAAGAAATATAAGCGAGCGTCAAACGAGACCGGCAAAATACAACGGCGAAAGTGAAGCAAACAAGTTTGTGTGTTTGCGTGTGCGTTTATTTCCGTGGAAGTCAATGTAATAGAATTGGCCAATAACAAAGTTTTCGCCAAGTTTTGGTTTAATTTGGTTTATTTCGTTTCATTTGTGTCTCGATCAAATTTAGCCGAAGGTAATACAATGAAATTAAGAGTTATATATTTATTTTTACCGAATAAATGTAACAAATAGACAAGGGAATTTATAAAAGATGGCAAATTGGTAAATTTGTCGACACTAACAATAGCAAAGTGTGCAACAAAAGCCAATGTGAGCCAGTGAGGGAAAACTAGTTTGTAAGCAACAAATCCACCGCCAATCGGCTTAACGGTTTCGTAGAAATATTGTCGTTGGTATAGCGGCTCATAAGCAACTTGTTTGTTTACTAGAATATATATGAAAGAAACACCGTTATTTTCAATACAAAAATCGATTCTAGTTTGCAATTTGCACAATGCTCTTGTGCCCATAAATAAATTAGCAACTGCAGCTTAACTAGTTATGAAATTAATCCCGTATGCCAGCGGCTGCATAAATAAATATTTGCTGGTAACAACAATATTGCTCTCCGCTGCGTACGTTGCTCTGTGAGTATAATTAGTTATGCATATGTGTGTGTGTGAGGTTTATGCAAATGCCACACGGAATGTTGGTGTTAAGTTGAACTTTGCTATTTTACTATTTATGAAAATTTATATATATGTATGTGTGGGTATGCCGGCGTTAAGTTTACTCTGTTTTTCATTAACAAATGTCTTTATACTTTGAGTTTTTGCGTAATAAAATTGAGCATACTATTTTAGTTAACTAAATTTATGTCGCTGATAGAATAAAGTAAAGCATTGCTTGGTTTAAATGTATAAAGGGTAACTTACAAATCAATTACTAAAGACCTAAGTCTGAAAAATTATTTAATTTTAGAGTAAAAATGTATATCTGATATTTATTAGAATATTTTTTTTTAAAAATAGGTAAAATCTCCGTCAATATTACCATATTACTGATATAAAACTGGCAGTGTTTAAGTATCGAAAAAAGTTAAATAACTCAAATATTATTCAATATATTTTCAGAAGAATCTTATTAACAAACCTTTTACTTCGAAAATTATTCTTTAAATTTCACCACCGCAAACTCGACCATGCTAAAATAATTCAAATGTGTTGCAGCACCCTGTATGTGTAGTGAAAACCACTAATAAAAAAAACCGAAATTATACACATACATATGAAAAAGCTAATTTGAATCATGTAAGTTTCTCTAGGCCCCAGTGTTTTAATACTCACAATAATGTAAGATTACTTAAGAACTGAATAGCAATTAAAAGTAAGATTACATCAAGCGCCAAGTTGCGACGATTAAAATTAATATATGTTACAAATAATTTGAGTTTAGCTCTAATCTGACCAGATATATAGATTTGTACATAATCAATTATAAATATTTTGGTATTTTGCGCATCCGTGGCCTTGACCCTAATGATGTGGTTATATTAAGAAAATATATTAGAAAATTAAATGTTAACATGAAGCTCTGAATGCGTAGGATATTGTACTCTACAGATATTTGGACGATAAAAGAGTTTATGGTGTGCGCACTCAAATATGTCCAGTACAAGTGCTAAACAAGTAAGTAGTCTACTAACTTCTTAATTAGTTTGTGTAGGCATGAATGAGCCAATATTTGGTCGACGGTGACAAGTAGTTGTAATGTCTGCACTTTTTAGATTCCCATACAAACAGTTTTACAAAGGCAGACTTTATAGTCAAGAAATAATCTGCAGTGGATGCTGACAATAAGCCAAACGGATTCATCTGAACAAGAAAATTATATTGTAGAAATGTGGGAATTTTGTACTATATAAAGTATAAAGAATATGCATGAAGACTCTTTTTTATGTTAGTAATTTAGCAATTAATATGTTTAATACCATTAAAAGTTTCATTTCATTTGGTGATATTAAGACAAAATATATTAAAAAGGGGCAGAGTTCTTTATAATCAAGTGCTGCTTTATTTAATCAACTATTTCGGTACTCTACGTCATGACGTGTAGAAAAGATTTAACGAGAAATATAGCGATAGGGAATATATGAAAAACATACTGAATTAACACCTTATATTACTAACTAGCCTGCGGAAACTTTTTGCTAAAGGAGTTTCGAAAAAGTCAAAAATATTCTTACACCCATGAAATTAGTTAAAAATTGGTTATTATGTTAAAAAATGTATATGATTGTAAAAAAATTTCAGTGTGACTAACTCCGCTAAATTGTTCATTAAATATAGATATATAAGCTGGTATAGAATTCTATGTTTTACATTATTACTCAACTAATTCTATACTTAATATTCTGTTAATAATCTAAAATGTTAAAAATATAAATAAAGTTTTAAATTTTCTAAAACTTCGAACTAAAAAATATTTATAAATGACACTTTTTAGTTGCACACATGTAGTAAACTATAACACGTTTGCTAAACTTGTCACTTTGAGTGCGTTCCTTAAAGGTGTGCCATCGCGTATGCGTAACATTTCAACTGGATTGAGTAGGAATTTCAATTTTTGATGCAATTTTATACAATTTTGTTTGAAGCCATATTGTAAATAAAATTTCAATAAATATGAAAGAAAATATGAATAAAGAACGCATAAATATGGTTATTAAATTTTAACTTACCAATATATTATAGCAGCACGAAATTAGCAGTGACGTCATTACAATGCAGTGCTGTTATAACCGTTGATTAATTGTAATTAATGCAGTTATTATATTTGTTTTATTACCACAAAACTGCTGATTGCCATACGCTCTTGAAAATTTCTAAGAATTTTGTAGCCTCATAAGTGCATAAAGTGGAATTACTCATACGCGGCATGGTACCATTTTTGGTTTCTATGAAATTGTAATTGAAGTTACCGTAGGTTGCAAATTAATTTTTAATTTAATGCTTGGCTTAATTTATTAAGCAATTTACAGTTATATACATACATAAGTTTTAGAGAACACTCCCAGGTATTTGAGAAAAAATTCAATATTTAACTTATAATATATTACGACACTTCGCGGTATTCATTAATATTTCATTTATAGTAAGCACAGATAACGCACACACCTTTTATAAACCAGAATTTAAATTTAAATAATATTCATTTGCAAATTTATTTCAATTAACTGTATTGCTTTACAGCTCAGCGCAGGTTCGCTTATCTTTATTGAAGCTGACTCTTAGGCAGATTAAACTTTTACAATTCCCACGACATTTAATAATTAAAATTTTACTTATTCATTAGAAAAGCCACTGTTACCGCACAAGTACATAAAGTCGACGCGTTTTGTCATCAGTGCCTCGGCCACTTAATGGCGTACAAAGCCAATATTAAATCGCGCCTGCAAACCGCCGAAGTTCTGCGTATACTGAAGAGCTGCAAATTATTTTTTGTACGCAATGCGAATTATAAAGTCATGAAGGTTAACAACCTGACAGTTTACAATTACCAACATTCCCCTGCATGCGCGTGTATGTGTGTGTGTATGCACTACAGTGCTGCGCCACCAGCACTATTTTCCCTTGCTACACTTCCGGCTCATACTCTGTGGTCAATGGCAGTTATTTTTCAGTTAGAATCTCACTGGACGATTGTTTGGCCGAAAATTTTCATGCCTAGTTGGCGTAAAAGTTAAGCAGATAATGAGCACGAAATTGCACTCACAAGCACATACACGTTTTTTTGGGGTGGTTGTGTAGAGTCGCGTTCTGAAATTAACGCGAGCTTCGAGAGATTGTTGCAGTCTAGAGTTTGTACTCGAGAAAAAAAACGGCTGGCCCTAAACTATCGCGCTTAAAGTTCGCATGGATCACAATTTCTTTTCAATTCATCCATTTGCTTTTCTTTCTTATAGCATTGTCCTTCATGTTGTAACTTAATTTTAAAACGTAATCGGTTTTCGTCCAATGGAAAAGGTTTTGCTAATTCTTATCGGCAGTTCCGACAAATAAGCATCTTCTTGGGAAAAAAGAACATGTGCAGAATTTCAGTTCGTGTATATACAGGCAGACAGACAAACAAATAGACAGACAAACAAACAGACAGACGGATATGGCTAAATCGACTCATATGGCTCCTTTCTGGGTCTTACAATCTTCGTGGCAAACTGATATATTAAGTTTTAGAGTTCAGGGTATATGTAATATGAAGGGCTAGGTTTAATTGAGAGGTAAAAGTGTGTTCAAAAACTCTACCAATTTATTCAATATTAAAATTATACCATTATTTAAGAAGAAATTAATTTATTTATATTGGAAGTTATAGTAACTATTTTTTGCCAGTGCTAGCATGTGAGGCAAACCTCGACATGAAGGAGTTGACGTTCGAACGACATATGGTATGGTATATTATTCTACCAAATTTACGCGTTAACACTAAAGAGACTACTAACAAATATTATAGAAATCATTAACACATTTTAGTTGTCAAATACTGGTCGCAAAAGTGATGCGAACCTTCATCGATCAATGTCATTGTTGAGCCATCTTATTGTATTGCTAAGCTTCCTATGAATTACCGAAATTAAAATGTTTCCTCTGAGAAATGCGTGGAAGCATTTCATAGAGGCTACCAAATGAAATTATTTGTGACAGTGTGTATTAACACCCAGAAGGAAACTTCGGAGACATTATACAAATATGTATTTATAAATGATCAGCATGACGTGCTGAGTCGATTTAGCTATGCCCGTCTGCCTGTATATATGCGTACTAGTCGGTAGGTTCGGTGTAATCGAAGTTACCATTTTTCTTGTTTTTATTCTTTGTTGTAATATATGTACAACGAAGGATAAGTGAAGGTTGGTTAACTGTCTGTTGACGAACACAAAATGGCGATTTGATCTTCGAATCAAAATTACTATTTGCAGATGATCGAATCAAAAAGCGTCTGTTCTGCTATTTGTGTTGTTGTTAGTGTGAAGAATATGTGTTGATTATATTAATTAATGTGTATCGGTGTTCAGCTGTGTATAAATATGGAGTAAGTTATGTTATAATTTCTTCTCGAACTTTAAAAATGTTTAGGAAAATAAGATTACTACTAAAGGTTTATAAGTAGAGCAGATTGACAATACATACATACATATATTCTTACCATAAACGGGTGATTATTTGTCAAAATGAAGTTTTTCTTATCACATACATCTAACTGATCTTCTCTTTTCATATAGTTATTTAATTAAAATAAGTTTTTCTTATAATTATTACGAATCGGTCAATTTTGTTAAGGTCAATAATAGAAACTGCTTCTGAGTTAGAAATAGAACACTTGCAAGGTGTAATGGAGCATTTATACATAAAAGGTTGCCATATAATGAGGCAAAAGTTTCATCGCTATAAAGTGCTGAGATAAAACAAAAAATTATAGAAACTTCAATATTAAAATGTAGTTAGCATTTCTTGGAATCTCTCCATTTGAGATTTATAAAACGAAAAAACATAACCGAGAATGAAAATTGACGGAAATCGATTATGAGAATTCTGAATTTAAATTAAATTCCTTTGACATTTGGTGTTAAGGAGTGGTGGCATTGACT